TGACTCCACGTCTCCCACCATTACTAGGTAATTGCTGACTAGCTGACCATCGGTGCTGCTACAGTTAGCTATCCCTCATGCTGGTTGAGGAAGCAGCCTACATGTCTGATGTCACTGTATAACCAATAACTAACGATTTGTTTCTGTGGGTTCAGACCATCCCGCTGCTTCAGCGTCATCAACCTGCAACCATCACTTTGTCCCAGTTCCAGATTGCATGTCTGCTCGCTAACGCTTTCTACTGCACCTTCCCTCACCGCAACACCACAAAACCCGACTCAGAATACCACAACTACCCGTCAATAAACTTCAGCAGGTCAGCAGTCACAGGTTCTCTGGTTCTCCCCCAACTTGTTTAACATCCTGATTATTCATTTTGATTTGATTTTGCACACAGATTGTTTGGAGACTGGTCAGAGCGGAAGAACCAGAAGCTCATGGCCATCATGGAGTATTTTAACGTGGTGACAGATGATAGTAAGTACCAAACCCTGAACCCAATCCGGTTCATTGGTGAGATGTACGCAGGAAGTCTATAATTATCTGTTTTTTCTGTAGAATTCAGACATGATGGACTGGTGACGTTTGAGAGGCGTTGCCTCAGAGATGCAGATGTACCGGACTGGAGAGGGTAATGCCTTATATTGGAAATATTTAACATTGTTATTATAGGAACTGCTGGAATGCAAACATTGAGTTATTTATTTTGCAGCATTTTAAACAGTAGATAGATCCAGAAGCTGATAAAAAGCTGACATACAGTTTCTTAAGACATCTCTAACATTCTAGAAATCAACTTCACTGCACTGATCTTTATCATTTAAATGTTTGCTGACTGGTAAAGATCTTAGGTTTAAATTATGTGTCCTTAATTGGGTTGGTTTTGGATTAGCATTAACCAGAATCAACTGTTTTGCTAGCACTGAATAAATACCAGCAAAATGCAAACTTTTAATCAAAGAGAGTTTAAACACATCCCAGCTGTAATTGCCCATATAGAGATTATATGTTGATTTTAAGTGTATATTGGTGTTATATTTTTCAGAAAGGAAATGTGGAAATATTAAAAGGGTTTAGTGAGTATTGTGGAAGAGACTACAAGGTGTCCATGTTCTTCGTGTTACAGTTGCACTTTAGAGATATTAAACCAAAGCTTTGGTGTCCAGTCCAAAGAGCAGAAGCTGCTTATAATTAGTTATAAATTTACAGATGATCCTAATCCAGAGTTCAAACATTAACTTGGATCTGGAAAACAAACTCGACAGGTGAAGATTAGACGCAACTGTGAAGCCATCTAAAGGAAGGAACAGAGCAGACTGTACATTGTAAGGAAGATTAGGTCCTTCAGTGTTTGCAGCAAGATGCTGCATGTCTTCTATTAGTCTCTTGTGGAGATTATGATCTCTTCCTCAAAATAAGCTCATCCAGCTGATAAAGTGCTGGGTTCCAGTTTGTGGGGTTAGTTTGTTTTCCTTTTCAGTTCCACCGGTTGTCCACCGTCGGTGCCATCTGGTTACTCTGTGTTGAAGGGCGTACCTACACGTTTCAACTATCTGCACCTGCAAAGAATCATTATCACCCCAGAGGACTATATTAGCAGCTGACTGTAATCACCTCTTCGGCAGAGTGTTTTGCCTGTTTTGGGAAACATTCAGATACTCTGGGATATTTTCCAGTCCTTCCAGCTCTGGAAGAAATCCAGTGGAGACCCTGAGAGTTCCACAACTCCTCTCCTCCTGACCATAATCAAAATCTCCAGTCTGCACCGCTGCTCCTTTGCTCTATTGTAAACTTACCTGTCCACCTTCCAAGGCCTCGTCCATCTTCAGTCAGCCAGTGCCTTCTGCTGCCCCACAATCTGGAACCTCATACCCCCCTCCAATTCTGGCTGCTAGTACAATCGCACCTGGACTCCTGGCCGCAGGTCCCACCAACCTGTCTTAATCTGGTTTCTGTGTTTTGCTTAACAGTAAATAAACATTCTCACTTTATCAATCTCTCCGTGAGTGTTTCTAAATGTGGGCAAAGAAGTATAAGACTCATCATGACAAAAGAAGGTCAGCTCTGTTCTAGAAACTTCTCTAGAACCTCTGGAGCTTAATTCACAAAGATAATTTTTCATAAAGGGGGGTATGATAGAAAGGAATTGAAGAAATTACCCATGATGAGAGCTATTTCCATAAATTGAGTCATTTTAAATTTTGTTACACAATAAAATAGTTTATTATTTGCAACACGTGATTTACAACAGCAGGTTTTTATTTGTTCAGCTTTTGACAAAGGGGTAAAAAAAAAACTCATGTAAACCTAAATGTGGCCCCAGCAAAAAAAGTCTGGTTACCACGGTTATATCTGTTTTATTTCTTGTAGGTGCAGAGAAACACTGGGAAAACTGCATGTAACCTCAGAGGGCACGATCGAGGATGAAGGTACAGGGCTGCTTCAGGTAAAAGGCCCACGGTGTCAGGTGACCCACAGCTGTCCACACAGGCCTGACTGTATCTGTGTGTTTGCAGGTGGACTTTGCTGCCAAGTGGATAGGCGGGGGTGTCCTGGACACTGGTCTGGTTCAGGAAGAGATTCTGTTCCTCATGCATCCAGAGCTGATCGTGTCTCGCCTCTTTACAGAGAAACTTGACGACAAAGAGTGTCTCATCATTACAGGTTCAATGAAATATGAAACGTTAAATCAGTTATAGAAGCTGATAATTTTTTTTGTACAGTGTTGTTTTAAAATGTAGTTCTGGTTTTAGTAATTTACACATTAGGATTAGAGTTTTTCAGAAAAAAGGAAACTATGAATGTATTAGCTCAGAGTGTTATCAGAGAGTATCAATCCAATGAGCACAACCGTAAGTTTGCAAAGAATAGCCACCAAACCAAACAGCCAGAGACCTTCAAGTTTCCTTTTTAAAGGAAATAATGATGAGTTGGTAAAAAACCAATCAACCACCAAAAGTAAGAAATAAAAAATGTTCCCCCCTTAATGTTGAAGCAGAGTTTTGGGAAATAAAATGTATCACCATTAAACCAGAGATTTGTACAGGATGTTGGACTGTACTTTGACTGAGGCGTTATAACCTATAAATAATCCTTTAATTAAACAATTTTGCAGGTATCCCAGTATTCAGCCCCTTGCTAAAATATATCATACCCACAGCATGCTACTGCTGCCACCACCATGTCTCATTGTGGAGATGGTATATCCAAAAAAGTTATAATACAACTCACTGGACTTTGTTTTTAAGTCTGGAGACGTTTCACTTCCCATCCAGGAAGCTTTTTCAATTCAAAATGTCAGAAATAGCGTTCAGTTCAAGGCTTTTTAGAGTGGACCAAAAACAAAGCCTTGTTTTGGTGTAGAAAATATGCAAAGTGAACTGGACGAATGGGTGTATCATGGTGAGTTGGTGTATCATTTGGTGTATTCGAAGTAGTGATGAAAACAGCAGTTCTTTTGACTGAACTGAAAAACTAGTTTCAGTACATTAAAATGTATAATATTCACAATATTATACAATGTAAATAATTAAAATAACATTAAAATTCAAAAGATTCGCACACAAAATTACACAGTGTTCTATTTATGGACCTATCACTGCTTTTTCTGCCACATTAACTTTGTAAAAGGCAATAAGTGTGTTTTTTACTGGTTTTACTAAGTGTGCTAATCATAGACTTTTAACAAACTTTTAATTGAAGCTAAAACAGGCAATAAATCATATAAACTTTTCAGGCTCTCTCTTTACCTTATTTTGAAGTTCTGCAAACATGAAGTTAGTTGGCTTGGATGAGAAAAATACAAGTTTATAGTGACTTTTACATATAAAAAATCTGTTATCTATGAAAAGGATACATTTTGATGATTACATTCTGAAAAATATCACATAAATCACTATTATCTATTCCAGATCATTTCCGTCGTATGTTAGTACATCTAAAGGGAATTTCGTTCCATTACTATTGCAAGAAAATAACCTGTTTTCTAAATTGAAATTTGAAAAAAAAAAAAAAAAAACAACAATCCAGAAAAACAGGCTTAAATAGAAGGCAACTTGACTTTTGCTTAGTTTTTATCAAGACATTATGAAACCTATCAAGGAGTTAGAGCAATCTGTAGTTGGAGCTCTGATGATTTTAAGAGCATGGAGGTCCATCCTTCTAAGCACATTTCAAGTCAGGTGAAAATCAATGATCAACATATCGTCTTTCTGATTTGTTGGAGCATATTGTGTATGCGTTTTGTGTTTGGCAATTTGAGTCACAATGAGTGTTCATATGTTAGGAATGAGTTTCAGGACCAAATAATAGATGCTTGGAAGCTGAAATCACAATCCTCCCACTCTGTTCAGTGATTTTTCTTTATTCACAAAGATGGCTTCCATCACCCCTCTTTCAAACCACCTGTCCTCTCTGTCCAAAGTCTAATAATTTTTTATTCAAAAGTGTGTAATTTTTTCTTGAGGTGCAGGTGTCCCACTGGTGTCCTGCCCAGAGATACCGCCTCGCCTTTGCTGTCCCATGCATTTTGTGTAGCTGTTGTTTGCTTTCTCCAATATAAGCGTCTGATTCTCAGGATTAAGAATATTATTCTTGGCATTCTCTCTAGTGAACTTGATTTGCTGACCACTGGGTTTGGATTTTGACCCGAGTGTCATCCACATACCGGTATCTAAACCAGTGAGTTGGTGGTGTTCCCTTTATGAGCTGAATGCTCTGCCCTCCGCTGCATCCAAAAAGATATTTGCCAAAGTGGGTGACTCAAGGGAGAAAATGGCACAGCCAGGGTTTATGTTGGTAAAGGTTATCACTGTATTTGAAAAATATGTGGTTGACAGGCAGAGGTCCAACAGACCACACATCTGGAAAGGTGTTAAAGTGGTCCTGTCCTTAAAGCTGCAGTCTGTAACATTGAGGAGAGAGCAGACTTCGACTGAAAATTTGAAGAAAAACAGGTTTCACGCCACTCCCCCACCCTCTCTGCTTCACTCATGCCCCACCTCCAAGCCCCACCCCTCTCACAGCATCTGCGCGGCTACCGCATGCGACCAGAAGGGAAGGGTGGGGCGGGATTCAGCGTGTGTGAGCTGTGATTGACACTCCATCAGACGCTCCTCTGGCTGTGATTGGTTGTTTTGACTCGTCCCGAATGATTCTTTCCAGATTGAAATACAGGCAGTAGGCGGGACCAATTGAAGCAGTTTTTTTCATAGGTTACATATCACATGTACTGCTGTCTGGGCATAGGGACAGTTTTAGCCAATATGACAAAAAAGTGATTTTTAAAACTTACAGACTTCAGCTTTAAAGGATTCATCATGTTGTATCCTGAGTGCGATACACAAAACAAAAAACCACCTGACTTGACTCACGTACCTGTAATGTACATACAGTCGTACGTCTATGTACATCTACATGTACAAAAATCACCCTATTATTTTAGGGGTGCGGGCACGGGTTAATGAACAAAATGCGTGTATCATAGACTTACACTATGAATGAAACTTGTTTATATTTTCTTATACTCATCTTAGAATTTTTTTTTATCAAGAATATTGAGATAACAGTATTTTAAGCAACGAGGCAAAGCTTCTTACTTCAGCCAACTAACAGGTATTATTCTATAGCCCCATTAAAACTACCCTTTTGGAACCATGTTGAGAACGGTCCGAGCATGGTAACCAAAATAACTGTTGAGTGTTAATTGAACACAACTGAACCAGAACGTGCCAGAAACAACAGAACCGCGCTAAATCTAGTACTAGTTCAGCAGTAGGGCTCTACGTTGAGCTCTACGTGGTTCAGTTGGATTTTGCCATGTGCGGCTTTGTAATCAACAGATATCTTCACCTGTTCACAACATGAACTTCTTCTCGCTTGTGTCAGTGAGCCCCAGGGCAGCTATGGCTACATTGTAGTTTGCCACCATCAGTGTGAGAGTGTCTGTGTGAATTGGTGAATGACTGTTCTGAAAGTAGTGTAAAGCACTTTGGTCAAGTCTTCTCACTTGAAAAAACTCTATATAAGTATAGGCCATTTAGCATTTCTCAGCCTATTAAAAATAATTGCCATCAAAAGAGCGAGGTGCATTCTGGGGTGATGCTAAGACCGAGGCTCTTATTGACATTTGGACGCAGGACACTATCCAGGCACATAAGTTCTTGAATATTATGGGCGCCACCATTTTTGTTTGCATAATTCCTTGAGGGCTGTAGTATCGTGGGAACCGTGCTAGTGTGATGTGTAAACGGTAGTAAGGAACCAAGCTCGTCGCGATTAACTGATCCAAGGTTGGTCCGAACTTGGCAGGGATAGGTGTCAAGGGGTAGTTTAAACGGTGCATATAGGCACAGCATGCACTGGATGTAACCATTAGACGATGTTATTTTCTGCCTCTGTTTTTATAAATGGCTGTGTGTACACTTTGTGATCATGGGTTGGCTAACACTCTATTATTTACAGGTCTGTGCAGTTCTGACTGGATTGTAAATGGGGATAATTGAGGGTAACAGGTTGGGTCTTGGTTCTGAAATACTCCGAGCCGCTGAAAAAAATAAATAAAATGTACACCATAATTCCCAGCTCCACCAAACTTTACACTTGGCATTGCCAAGTGTAAAGAAAAAAATGGACTATGTCAGATGAGTACCGTTCAAAAGATTTCCAGATGGAGAAATGTGATCCCCCACTCCGGAGGACGTGTCTCCACTGCTCCGGAGTCCAGTGGTGGTATGTTTTACACCACTTCATCCAAAATGTTGCATTGCACGTGTGATGTACGGCTTGGATGCAACTGCTTGACCACGAAGATCTCTGTGTAGTTTTCTGCAGCTAATGTGAAAGTCACACCTAGGTTGGAGGTGTGTAGTGATTGACTCCAGAAAGTTGGCAATCTCTTTGTACTATTAGCTTCAGCATCTCCTGACCCTGCTCCTTCAGTTTGTTACTTTGTGGCTGAGTTGCTGTCGTCCCCATTTGTAAATTCATAAACTCCCAAAAATACATCTTGCCACAGATGTGTTTGCCCTCCATAGAGAATTGTTCTGGGCCAATGAAAGGCAGTTACATGTATGAAGTCAATGCATCAACCAGTGGAGGAAGGATGAAGCAAAACAAACATGGCTTTACCGGTTTCAAATGGAATACAATTCAGTTTCAATTCAATTCAGTTTATATAGCGCCAATTCACAACACGTCATCTCAAGGCACTTTAAAGAGACAATACAAGCAGATCATCCAGTCAGATTGGTTCTAGTTTTCTGTCTAAGGAAAACCAGTTGATTGCATCGATTCATTGACTAAAAGGCAATCGCTCATACCAAACATTGCTTGTTGTGACAGTGCAGAGGAATCCTCCCTTTTAACAGGAAGAAACCTCCAGCAGAAAAAGGCTTAAGTGTGGGCAGCCATCTGCCGAGGCCGACTGGAGTTCAAGGAGATAGAAGTAGAAAAAAAGAGCAGAGACAAAAGGCAACGGTCAACCAACTCCACAAGCGGCCAGCTCCCATGTCAGAGGATAAAAGAGAGCACATCCAGCCAGTCACAGTCAGAGAAAAGGGACAACAATGAAAACAGGTCAAGTTCCAACATCTAAAAACAAAGGTGTTGATGGCAGCAGCACAGCTGGTATTTCTCTCCAGGATGGAGTCACAGCCAAACAGGAACAAACCAGATAAAGCTACAATGAGAAAAAGCAGAGAAAGCATAATATTAGAGATTAATCTAACAAATTCTGCAGAATGGGAGAATCGAGATATAATAAAGCAGAATGATGAAAATGGTTCCCTATGTCCTCCTGCAGTCTAAGCCTATAGCAGCTTAACTACAGAGATAGTTCAGGATAACCTGAGCCCCTCTAGCTGTAACCTTTCTCAAAAATAAAAGTTTTAAACTTGCCCTAAAAGTAGACAAGGTGTCTGCCTAATGGGCTAAAACTGGTAGTTGGTTCCACAGGAGAGGAACATGATAACCAAAATATCTGCCTCTCATCTACTTTTAGAAATTCTAGGAACCACTAGTAAACCTGCAGATTACCAACGAAGTGCTCTGTTAGGAACATAAGGAACAATATTCTACAAACCCTTGGATTTAGATGACAGCTCCTGATCAAAAATAACACCAAGATGTATGGCTTTATTATTTTAGATCAATTTAATCCCATCCAAACGAAGAGACTGACTAATCAGCTTATATTTCAAAGAATCTGGTCAATTGTCTATAACTCCTGTTTGGTCTGCATTCAGAAGCAGAAAGTTAAGAGTCATCCAGGTTTTTATGTCTTCAAGACATGCCTGTAATCTATGTAATGTCTTAGTTTCATCTGGATTTATAGACAGATATAGCTAAGTATCATCAGCATAACAGTATAAATTAATCTCTGTCTAATTCTACCAATTGGTATCATATATATAATAAAGATAATTGGTCCTAACACTGATCCCTGTGGTAGTCCACAGGTAATTCTAAACTCTATTAAAGTAATTCTGAAGGTTATTAACAAGTGGTCAGAGAGGACAGGGTTGTGAGGAAACAGTATTATTTCTTCACATTCAATGCCATATGTTAGCACAATATCCAAGGTATGGAAATGAAAATGAGTGGGATTATTCACATTTTGTACAAAGCCAATTGAGTTTAAGATAGCATTAAAGTCTTCATTAAAGCTATCACGTGTAATGTCAGCAAAGATGTTAAAATCCCCCACGATGATGACCTTTTCAGCATTCAAAACAAAATTAGATAGGAAATGGACGGTTTGGAGGTGGGGGCATGGGTAAATACAATCAAGTAAACCAAACTTCTCACTACTTTTCTAGATGCTAAAAACCTTTTCCAAGAGCTTCGGCAGCAGTACAGTTTTCGCAAATATCAGATTTATAGTTCCCACGCTGCAGAGTTATTTGAATCTGTGGTTAAATGTCAGCCAAACCCATTTGCAGAGGAACAGATAAAACCTTTCAACAAATCAAACATTATCCGCAACATCTCTTACTCAAGAAACATAAACAATAGCCCAAAGCCGGGATTCTAACTCTGACACCCTCGCCTTCAAAGCTACAAAAATACTACACTTATTACACATACCATTATCTATAAATGAGGCAGAGGAATAACTGAACATCTGACACAGAGAGCAGAAGAGAGGAGAGGACAGTTTAGAAAGAGTTGGAAAAGGGTCAGGGTAGAGAAAGAGCGAAGCCCTTACTACCAGAAATAAAACCGCATAAAAGCTACTATGTTTTAAAGGACTTCTGGACAGATGTCACAGAAAAAAGATTGAATTCATACAGAGAGCCTGAGCAGCACTATAACGTAGGTCAGCAGTCAAAACAGGAAGTAAACACGATATCTCTCATGAACAGCAGCAGTAGCACCCTCTACTGGCAGGAGGTCCCTTTTGAAAAGCAAGCAAAAGGACATGATTTGTGCATTTGTGGATGAGAAGATGGTTGTGAGTTTCAACTTGATTTGGTTAGAGTTGGATTTATCATTAAAGTGTGTCAAACAAATCCAGAATGTGTCATAAAACGGGACAAATGAGCCCAGTATTCAGGTGAGACAGACAGTAAGAAGTTTCAAAATGTTTAATGACAAAATAAATAAACAGAACAGAAACGCGTTCTACTGGGAGGGTGGAGCATTGCCCACTCTGGTTGAGGGAGAAAGGAAAGTGACCATGATAACCTGACAGAAGATGATTATCCGTGTGAGTCACTATCCTGGTTCAGTCCATCCTCTCGGGTGAGGCAGGATCAGCTGACGCACTGCCAACGAGATGCGGCGCTGAGCCTTCTAAAGTGTCCCCAGTGCAGCAGCACTCCCAGTGAGCAGGCAGGAGAAAGATCTAGGTCAGGGAAACAGTTCAGAACAGCACAGTTCTGATATTCAGGAGTTCGTAGCCCTTTCAGGTTTTCTGATCCAAACAGGAATTGACAGATCCAGGGTTCCAGGAATCTTTAGAGCATTCTGGCGGGTTCAGAGTTCTAAGGGTTCAGCAGTGAGCTCAGTTAACATGCGCAGATGGAGACAGGTGGGCTCAATGGTTGAGAGGAACAGAGACAAGACATGGTACCAGGACTACTGCAGAACTTTACACTGGCTCCAACCAAGAGCCAGGATCGCGGGAGTTAAAACTGGCTTTCCTCACACTCCGATCCAAAACCAGAGGGCTCTGACAGGAAGAGCCAGAACCTGAGCTACCGCCGCACCACGGGTTAGAAACCCTGGGGGCTCTGTGGAAAAGAGTCAAGACACGTTCAGAACATAGGAGACAAACACAAACATCCTCTCCACACGCTGGCCCCTGAGAGCAGGGACATGAACCATGGACTAAACTTAAAAACACACAAAACAAATGAACAATAATAACTAGCACGAACAACAAACAGTAATAATGATCCGGCCCGATAGCTGGGCCGAACTGTATAAAAAGCAGCGGGAGCAATGGATAAGATCAATGATAATTGGAGAGCAGGGATTGTACAGCAGGTGAATGAAGTGAGTAATTAGATCAGCTACCGGGGCTGTGGGAAATTCCATTGGGACCAAGTAGCACTAAATTGGTGACTTAGTAACGACACTGTCAAGGAACGCTATGGACAGCGGAAACATGCAAGAGGAGGAGAGTTTAGTGTCAGAGGTCGTGGATGATTCTCTTCCGTCATCCATTTTTTATTTAGAAGAGGAAAGCGGGGACAAAGATGTTGTGGAAGAGGACGCCAGGGCGGCAGAAGCTTGGTTTGGTGTAGAAGGCTTCCAGCCGTACATGTTTCAGCCCTTGCCTCGCAACGCTGCCAGTTCTGTTAGCTCTACGCCTGCTGAAGACACAGACGTCCATCCCTGTGAACACTGGGACGGAACTCAATGGGAAAGGAAATGATTCTCATTTCTTATTTCAACCATTGCGTATATTAGCTGCGACATATGAAACAAGATGCAATGACCGAATAAATTTGATTGACAGATGAACGTTGATATATGATTGGCCGAATTTAGGTGTTCAGGCTGACGTCTAACTAACTGGCCTGCATGAAATAACACACAAAAAAACAGATTTAGGACAGGATTTTTTTTTTTAAACAGAAATGTTCTACATATTTGGACAACATCATCTGATAAAGAGCACATTTATATACATGTTTAAGTCAGACTGATTTGAAATTTAAATATGACTTCCCCACAACTTTAAGCCATTTGCTCAGAAGTATTCAAGGCAAGCTTTAGCTATTAGCTCTGGGATATTCAAGCTAAAATTTATACATTAGACAAGGTAAATAATCAGTTAATGGTAGGGGTTTAATACAGTCTTTTTTTAAACATAAAGCCCAAGATGTTTTTTATGGTTAGCTAGGTCCGATTTGAAATGCCATACTGTGTTTTATTTTGTCTTATCCTCAGGTACGCAGAGGTTCAGTTGCTGTGATGGTTTAAGTGACAGATTTCAGTGGATGGGACCTTTCCACGATAAACTTGAAAGGTGTGATTAGGACACGTCTCTATAAAACATTAACAACAAAGATTTTAAAGTGTTCTAATTTATTGATTTCCTCCAACTCTTTTTGCAGAGATGATTGGAAGCGGCTAAAGCGTCAGATTCTGGCTATAGATGCGCTTCATTTCAGACATCCAAAGGAGCAGTACAGTATGGATAAAGTTAGACGGGAACTGAACAAGGTCAACATTTTTTCAAGCTCTTGTCGTGTTGAAACATTTAAAAAAACATGTCTTGTTAAACTGAAACTTGAGCAAAAAATATTACTGAGTTTTTTCTTATTTCGATTTTTTTTGCATGTGTTTACAAAGGCTTACTGTGGCTTTAAAGGCCAGCCTGGCCGTGAAGAGCCAGACATAGCTACAGGGAAGTGGGGCTGTGGAGCCTTCAATGGAGACGCAGAACTCAAAGGTAACATTTTTTGCGCTATTGTTCGATCTCTAGTTTTTGACTTTGGTCAGCATTACACCGCTTGAACATTTTCGCTTTTTGCCCAGTTAAAAACGTAAAGTTCTTTGTGCTTTGTTGAGGTCTTATTTAATAAATAAATTTATATACACTAAGGAAAATAAGCATTTAAACACCTCTCTATCAGCTAGAACTTTGAACCTAAAAGACCTGTTAGTCTGTAAATCCTATCCTAAATTAGATGCACCTGTTTAAGGTCATATGCAGCATAAATACACCTGTACACCCCATGCAATCAGTAAGAATACAACTACTAACATGGCAGAGACCAAAGAGCTGTCCAAAGACACTAGAGACAAAATTATAGAACTCCACAAGGCTGGAAAGGGCTACGGGGAAATTGCCAAGCAGCTTGGAAAAAAGGTCCACTGTTGGAGCGATCATTAAAAAAAGGAGAGGCTAAACATGACTGTCAATCTTTCTCAGGCTGGGGCTCCATGCAAGATCTCACCTGTTAGGGTCTCCATGATCATAAGAGAGGGGAGAAATCAGCCCAGAACTGCATAAGAGGAGATGGTTAATGACCTGAAAAGAGCTGAGACCCCCATTTCCAAGGTTCTTTCTCTAACTTTGCTCGGTGTTTCACTATGGGAATCATCCTGGCGTGACCAACTACGGAATCTCAAATGACATCACGTCTGTCTGTGACAGACAGGTTGAGCCATGTCCGTGGCTCCGCTCACCAACTAAATCACGTCCAACCTTCCCGCCTCAACTCATTCTCGCTTTCTTCCTGTGTGAAGACTACAGCTAAGCTCCCTCAGCATGCTCAGGCTAGCTTTGACCTGTTTAACGGTTCTCAGGCGTTCCGTAAAAGAAAACATCGCTGAACGCAGGACCAGGACAAGCATGTACCATGCTGGATAAGCGCTTTAACAGAAGCACCTTTAGGAAAACAAACGCTGGGAGCGGTGACCACGTAAAGGCGAGCTGTTCCTGTATCTACTCTGTTTTAATTAACGGAATAGAAAGTGTTTGTTTTTTTTCAGCCCAGCTAACACGCAAAGGTGGGCTTGGTTTTTGGCTAGCAGTGTGTCGCTAGCATAAGAGTCCAGTTAATGTGTTGTGGCGGACAGACTTAATATCAGTCAAGAGCTAACGTGTAACAACGAGCTCCGTGTTTGTCTACGGTCATGTCTGCGGCTCCTACCCCTGCCAAAGGTTCGGAACCGAAGGCTAAAGAGGTTGTATCCCGCCCGTGTCCAGCATCATGCGTGGTATCTATCTCGGGGCGGGGCCCTCATCCGATGTGCATTGCATGTATGGGCGATATACATGCTCAGGCATGGCTGGCGGACCCTCAGGGATGCCAGCAAGTCGCGTCAATGCTGGAAAAGATCCTGGAGAGGCAGCTGAGGGTGGCTGTCACTAACAGCCAGGACCCATGACTCTCCTCACCTTCAGCTGTTTTGGAGGCGGGTGAAAACCATCAGCCACGAGCCTCTAAGAGCTGGGCGGACGTGATGGAGGAGGAGTACCTGTCCATGCCTCTCCTATTTGAGGGCCTTATGGACAGCGGGAAACTCGATGCAGGTATCGACGAAGCGGAGGGTGACGCTAACTCCGACCTCCTCGAACTGGAGGACATGTAGGAGGAGAAGGACTCAACCTTCCCGGGTCAACACTCCAGGCCTCCAGGCGGGGCAGAAGTCACCTTCCCGGGGGACAGTAAGCTGTACGAGGAGCAGAACAGGACCTGTATGACGGTAAAAGGCTTCCACCAGCTTTACCACCAGCAAAGCAACTTTTACCAGCCCTTAGTGGGAAGCTTGCATGAGAGAAATGAGCCGTTTCTGGTCCAGCCCATTTAAGAGTAAGCTTCCCACCAAGGGCTTCTCTAAGCTGGAGATACAGGGCATGGGTGAGCTGGGGCTTGCCGAACCCCCAGCAGTAGAGCCTTCAGTGGCTTACCACCTCCGCCCTAATCGCAGATCGGTTTCAGCATCTTCAAACATCTCGCTCCCAGGTAAAATGGACCACCTCACCGCCTCCATTTACCAAAGGAAGTACAGATATGCTGGTCATTCAGTGTGCTCACTTAACGCTGTTACACTGCTGTCTGCGTATCAAGGTGAAAACCTGAAGGAGATGGGGCGTCAACTGGACTCGGGGACACCTAACCCCAGTATATGGGATGAGATATGTGTGGTGAACGATCTCATGTTGAACTCCTCTAGAAGGGCTTTTCAAGGTTGTGGTTATGTCATGGGTCTGGCTGTCTCTGGGGAAAGAGGCCTATGGTTAAACCTGTCAGGCCTGAATGATTCCCAGAAGGCTGAGATCATGGATACCCCCTATGGTCCAACAAAAGGTCTATTTGGCCCCTCCTTGGAGAAGATGAGGGAGACAAGTACCCGCAGAAAACAGGAGGGAGGGGCTTTTAACCTTTGTTTGCCCCACAAGCCCAGCCAACCCCCCCAACGAGACCCAGACCTTGGTTTGCTGCTGCGGCAGTGAGAGTGTGGCAAAGTGGAGCCAAGCCTTCAAGGAGACCTGCCACACAAACCGCCCAGCAAAGCAAAGTGGAGAACCCAAGACCACGGGGGAAGAAGTCTTCTGCAGCAGCCGTTGCAAAAAAATCGTTCATCCCACACTGGGGAGAGCAAGAAAAAGCGGGCAACCTAACCTCACTGTTAACAACCCCACCCGAAGAGAAGGTTTCCAGGCACTGGGGCAAACTTCTCTGTCCAGGATTCAGATGCTCCTGTAGTTCCCAGTTCACCAGTAGTCATGTTAAGTTCTCCCTCTGACATTCAGAGAGAAGACATTTTGGGGTGGAGGACACAGTGTCACCAAGCACTTCAGCAGTGTCATCCAACACTCCACAGCGTGTTATCAGTGTCACCAAGCACTCAGCTGTGCCCCATTTCACAAGGTTTTGTTCCGGGGCAATTAGAGAAAATAAACACAGCTTTTCTGCAGCCAGGCATGTTGCCATGGACAATAAAGAAAAGAAAATAACAGAAATGGCTCTCTGCCACTTACTTCTGTGCCCAGCGGGTTAGGGTTAGCCATTATGGGATCTCACTCTGGTGTTGGATGCCCTTTGTCATCATCCCTTTGAACCTTTGGAGGGTGTTGGCTTAAAGTTCCTTTCATTGAAAACTGCCCTGCTCTGACCACGGCTAAGAGGGTAAGTGAGTTTCATGCACTTTCATTCAGTCCGGCCTGCTTACAGTGGGCACCGGGGCTCTCTAAGGTGTGCTTGAGACTCAACCCTGCTTTTGTGCCGAAGGTGTTTGAATCAGCCTACATGTGTTCAATGGTGGAATTGCTGCAATTCCATCCACCACCTTTCTCTTCAGCAGAAGAGCAGAAGCTTCATTGCCTATGTCCAGTGAGAGCTTTAAGAGCTTATGTGGACAGGACAGCCTGTTTTAGAAGAGCTGACCATCTGTTTGTATCCTGGACTACTGCTCATCAGTGTTGGGCACGTTACTTTGTCAAAGTAATAAATTATAGTTACTAGTTACTTCTCCTAAAAAGTAACTGAGTTACTGAGTTACTTCACAATAAAAGTAACTAGTTACTAGTAAAAGTATCTATTGCGTTACTTTCGCATTTCTCGTAACCCTCACCATCCGGCCCTCACCTTCTCGGCGTGTGTTTCCAAAGCCAGCTGAATAGAGCGGACGACAAAGACAAGAACCTGCAGAGAGTTTTGCATTTATTGCAACTCAACGTAAATGACATCAGGGGGGTTTATAGGCCCGTCAGATAGCGTTTCCCCTGCTTAACATGGGGGGAGCGCTATCTGATGCGGTGTAAATATCATCAGGCTGCATTACCTCTACTCATGGGTGTGACGTTTTTTAACAGGCCGTTCAGATCTGGTGAGTGCATGAAATTAATAACTGGGGATGTGTAATTCTGAGATCCTGTGTGTTTGGGTTGTTATAGATACTGCAACATCCATCCATCCATCCATCCATCTTTCTCCATATAGGCTATCATTTGATC